AGTGCAAAGATAGACCAAAATGGGCACATAATTGAAAATTTCACACATGACAATAACTTTATAATTTTGAACGACGGAAGAGGAACCAGAATAGATCCACGCACTGGGAAAATGTCATGTTTGGATCTTAGCATCACCTCCCCCAAACTATCTTGCCTATGCTCGTGGGAAGTTTTGCGGCACACCCTTGGTAGTGACCATTTTCCCATCTCCACCCAGATATTATTGGACCGAGCAGGGCAAGTAAACAGCAACAGCGAGAAGATAAATGAGGAAACAACTTGGTCTTTTAAAATTTTTGATTGGAACACTTTTGCCGAAAAATGTGAACATAAAATTGAAAATAGCGGCAACTATTCCGACCCTACGAAAATGTATAAATGTTTTATGAAAATTTTATCAGAGACTATTAAAGAAATAATGCCCCAAAGGGGAAAGAAAAAACATGACCCTGTACCTTGGTGGACAAAAGACTGTACACAAAGTATCAAAGAAAGAAAAGGGCTAATAATAGATTAAAAAGACACACTTCAATAGAAAATCTAAATACATATTTGAAGAAAAAATCAGAGGTACAAAAAACTCTGCGCCAAGCAGAACGAAATTACTGGCAAGAATTTTGCTCAAGACTCAACCGCTTTGTACCAGAATCAGCGGTATGGTCTACCATTAAACGGTTAAAGGGGGTATCTGTCAAAAAAACAAAAAACATGTCAGTCCTGATAGAAAATGAAAAAGAAATCACATGTAACAGTGAAAAGACTGAGGCTTTCTCTAAGTTCTTCCAATCAGTTAGTAATGTTAAAGAATGTCCAGAAATAAAAGAAAACAAAAATGTAGAGCAACAAATCACGAAATCACTGAAGCGGGGAATGGAGCATATCTTGAATGAACCATTCACTCTTTTTGAATTGCAAAAAACTCTAAACACATGTAAACAATCAGCTCCTGGAAAAGACAAGATCCCTTATCAAGTCTACCAAAAACTTCCTCAGAAAGCAAAACAATATATGCTTAAGGTCATGAACTTGATATAGGATACGGGTAACATACCTCCCAGTCTGAAACACTCTATCCTAATACCTGTGTTAAAACATAATAAAGACCCCCGAGAGGTATCGTCGTACCGACCCATAGCACTTTCCTCGTGTTTTGCCAAGATACTAGAACGGATGGTAAAGAATAGACTCCAATGGTATGTAGAAAAGAACAATATACTTCCTCCCCTCATGACTGGCTTTCGTAGTAAACGTGGGGTCACGGATAACATTGTACTTTTAGAGAGTGCCATCCAAGGAAGCATTAATGTTGGTGAATATACATTAGCAATCTTCCTTGATATTAAAAAGGCATATGATAGACTTTGTATCAAAGGCCTTATTTACAAACTATCAGTACATGGTATTACAGGTAATATGCTAAATTTTCTCTATAACTATCTGAAAGAGCGGACTTTCCAAGTAAAGATTGGTAAAGAAGAATCAAAATCATATGAAATGTACAACAGCCTCCCCCAGGGGAGTGTCTTAAGTCCTATATTGTATAATATCATGATGAGTGATATTCCAACGGATGAATTAATCACCACATCTATTTATGCTGATGACTGTGTCATCTGGATGTCAGGTAATAACATAGAAATTATTTCAAACAGAATACAGTGCTATCTGAACACATTGAGTGAATGGTTTACTAAATGGGGGTTTCGCCTATCACAGAGTAAATCCTTTCCAGTGTTATTTACTAAAAACAATAAAGCAAAATACCCAGAACTGAAATTAACCAACGACGCACTTTTATTCCAATCAAAGAAGCATTTCCTAGGACTTATATTTGACAAAAGACTTTCATGGAAGACGCACATAGATGCCGTAGTCCTTAGATGTAAAAAGAAACTGAACATTCTTAGATGTCTTACTGGGACTACATGGGGAAGCTCCTCGAAATCCCTGCTAATGGTATATAGAGCATTGATTAGATCATTATTAGATTTTGGTTGTGAATCACTTGACTCCATTCAATATCAAGCCTTGAGAATTTGTGCGGGAGCTCTTCCTCTTACATCATTAGATTCACTACAAGTTGAACTAGGTGAAATGCCCTTAGACTTAAGAAGACAGATGCTGGCGGACAGATTCAGACAAAAGATTGAAATGCATCGAGATCACCCTGTCATATTAAACGTTAAGCCCAGCTGGCAAATGGAACTTTTGAAGCTCCAAAAGAATAACCAGCCATTTGGATGCAGAACAGAACTAATGAAACATCGTACTATCGAACCTTACACTATACCTAGTTTTCCCCCTTGGAAAATTAATGCTCCAAAAGTGTCGATAGAATTAAGCGAAATAGTGAACAAACATGAAAACCCATCGTATTTACGTCAACGCAGTTTAGAATTGATCAGTACCAAATGGCCAATACAACTACACATCTATACAGATGGATCAAAAGTTCCAAATCTTGGGATAAGTTCTGCTTCTTTTTATGTACCAGCCTTCTCCTTTCTACAAGCCAAACGATTGGCGGATCACACATCATCTTTCAGAGCCGAACTGGCTGCAATTGTCCTTGCGCTTAATTGGCTAGAGAACATTAATGTGTATGTTGACATTGTTATTTTTTGTGATTCCTTAAGCGCCCTGCTCGCCATAAAGGATGAAAAAGATATTACATTTGTAACTGAAATTATTACATTAAGTACAAAATTATCGTATCAAGGAAAACACATACACTTAGAATGGATTCCTAGCCATTGTGGTGTACACGGAAATGAAATGGCAGATTTGTATGCAAAATCTGCTTTACAAAATAACATTGAAATTTGTAATAAATTATCCTTTTCTGAAATAAAGAGTATTATTACCATCAAGTATATAAAACTCTGGCAAGACAGATGGAATAATTCTGAAAGTTTTCTTAGACAGATACTGCCTACAGTAAATCAACCATATGAATGTAAGTTGAACAGATTTGAAGAAAGTATTCTCCATAGATTAAGAATAGGAGTGATAGATTTGAACTTAGATCTCTTCAGATTGAATATGCACTCGACAGGCCATTGCAATAACTGCATAGGACGTACTGAAACCGTAAACCACTTTCTCACTGAATGCCCAAAGTACATCATAGAAAGAGCTATGTTACTCGTAGAAACTGATATATCACATCCACAGGAAATCATGACACTACTTAAAATTTCAGAAATAATTAAACAAAAAGCAATACTTCGCTTCGTTTTAAGAACAAAGCGGCTGTATCAAAACCATTAAATTTTTTTTTCTTTTTTTTTTTTCTTTTCTTATCTTCTCTTTTCCTTTTTCTTGCACCAATAAAGCCCACAATACTTGTAACTAATTTGACCTTTAATTTTCTAACAATTCGGTGATCGCCTCCAACATCACATGCCAGCTGGCACCCCCTCACCTATGCCGGAGTGACCTAGGTTAAAACCGAAAGTCTGAGAAATGCACCTCAAAGACTGGTAAGATGGCATTTTAAAAAGAGTGAGGGCGCGTGTGAAGTACACATGTGCATAGAGAGGTGGTATTTTAACGCGCACGTACGTGCGCGTAAACACTCGCTAGGCTAGGCCATCTCTTTCCAAATTTTTAATTTATTGAATTTTCTCTCTCTCTCTAAAAAAAGAAAAAATATATATATAAGGTCTAAAAAGAAAATAAGCGGAAGGAAAGGGGGTGGAAAGAGAAAGAATCTTAAAAATAGTCATCTATGACATGAAATTGTACATATAATGTATATATATAAATAATTCATAAAATAGTGTGTGGCAAAAATAGTCAACTGTGACTGATTGCCAAACAAAACCAAATCAACAACAACAACAACGCTATTCCACAGGAATGAGATGGTGAGGTCTTAGTTTGAAGATTTTTTTTATTTTTTTATATAACCGAGTCTGAAGTAAAGGATACGCTCCAATCCCATGCTTTATTACCGGGTCTTAATTTGGAAGATGGAGGGGTCTTAGTTTAAAAGGTTTTTTGTTTTGTTTTGTTTTGTTTTGTTTTTTGTTTTTTGTTTTACTTTTGAATAACCGGGTCTGGAGGAAATACTACGTGCAATACTCATGTTCTTCCACAGGAATAAGATGATGGGGTCTTAGTTTTGAAGATTTTTAAAAAGTTTTGAAATAACCGGGTCTGGAAGAAAAACTACGCTCTAAACCCATGCTTTATTACCGGGTCTTAGTTTGGAAGATGGTGGGGTCTTAGTTTAATTTTTTGTTTTTTTTTGTTTTTTTTTTGTTAAACTTTTGAATAACCGGGTCTGGAGGAAAGACTACGCTCGATTCTCATGTTATTCCACAAGAAAAGGATTATGGGGTCTTAGTTTTGAATATTTTTTTAAATTTTTTAAATAACCGGGTCTGGAGTAAAGACTGCGCGCGATACCGATGCTTTATTTATTACAGGGTTTTAGTTTTGAACAAATTCGACAAAATATCTCTTCAAATTTATTACATTTGTGGGTAAAGTCATTATTACATTTGTGGGTGATTCAAAATTATTACATTTGTGGGTAAAATGGTTATTACATTTGTGGATAAAGTGTTATTACATTTGTGGGTGTTATTACATTTGTGGGTAAAGTGTCATTACATTTGTGGGCGTTATTACATTTGTGGGTGTAACACCCCCCCCCCCCCCCCCCCCCCCCCCTGCGTACGCGCCTGACTGAACCCCCAACTGTTTTTAAAGCTAAACAAATTATGATCACTTTTCAGTAAAAAAAAAATGTACGTTCATTTTTATTTTTTAAAACTTTTCTTTAAATTTCCTTTAAAATTCTTTGACACTTTTAAAATTCGTATTTTCCTTAAAAAGGGCAATCGGAGACACTGTCCCGGGCGGTTCGGATCGGCATGCCCTGCGGTCCGGAGGCGGATAACGGCCCAGACTTTAAGAAGCCTTGTAATAGAGAAATGACCCGAAATGATTAATATTATATAACTCATATTTCATGTCGTAGGTGTCGACGGTAACGTTGTCCTCGAGACGTTCGGTGTGTATTGGGTGGTATGGTGTATGCGATGTGGTTACGACGCCCTCTTTCGGGCTCTAGGTGGTACCCTCTCAGACTTCATGGGTAACCTGGACTTCTTACACAGTGTGTACATGAAGACCCTCTACCCTAAGATGTCCGTCCCATCGTTCAGAGTCGAGGAGCTGGAGAATGATGAAACGATCCTTCACTATACTACTCCAATCGTCGCGGCCTCGGAAGCATGGTCTACGGTAATATCCGAATGAGGACACAGTCACACTATTACATTGGCGATCAATACTTCAATTGAATTTGTTTTTAAAACTCTTTCTGTATTCGTGCCTTTAAATTAACATCATGGAAGATACGCACTTTCGTGTAGACTTGGTGATTCTACCTTGGCCTTTCTTGATATTTCTCAGGGGCCAAAAAGTAAACTTTGAAGGATTATGATAATACCCAGGATATTTTTTTTTCTTCTTCAAGCAGACATTCATATAGTAGTCTGCCATGTAAACAGTTCGAATGCATTTTGTTTCGTTATTGCGTACCTCTTCCCTTTTTGTTTTCTTTGTTAAGTATGCCCCAAATATCAGTTTATCAATCTGTTATATGCTTCCTTTATATTTATATTGTTAGCTTACGTATAATTATACTAATAGTATCCTCTTTAATCCTCATGGAAATGCTGTACCTTCATTATTGTTTATATTGATTTTTATTTTGAATTTCATTAAAAGGATGCGTGAAAGCGGTCGGGCGGATCATCTTCAACACGGAAGTGGACATCGAACTGTTATCACATGACCAGGCAGAGTATTGTGGGATACTAAAGGACCATTACCAGTTTCACGTGTGTTTCGTCAAGTTTGATCTGGCTCCGATGGGAACTAGTGGCATATCGTAACTGAAGAGGTAAACATTGAGTCTCCAACTATTTTCAACCAGTTTGCTTTGGAGTGCATACGGTTTTCTATGAATATCCTGGTTATCCTTGTTTTACTCTGTAGGTGTGCGCACGCGTGGGTTCGTGTGTGTATGTGCGTGTGTGTGCGTGTGTTGGTGAGTGCGTGTGTATGTGTGGTGGGTGTGCGCGCACGATACATTAATAACTTAAATCAAACATTTGTTCACCCGACTATACGTTATTACAATTCCATATGAACGCAATCCTGCAAATGGCTATTTCCTGTCTATTCTATTGTTTTTACTTTATTTAACTGATTTTGAATTTAGAGAAAGAAACGAAAATCTTTCCTTTTTTAATGTGAAATGGGTTCCAAGTTTTTTTGCTCAATTCTATTATATTGACGTAACGGTAGGGAAAAAAACAACAACGACAGGGGTCAATTGAGGAAAATGAACATTATGATATATATATATATATATTTTGTTTTTTTTAGGAATGGACCTCCATTGTTGATGGGACCTCGCATCTCATCGGTAGGGGTGACTATCGTCCACCAAGCAACGAATCGGTGAAGAATAATCTGGTTCTCGCTCCGAACGGATCCGCTAAACGATGTCTTTTCTCAGGAATGGATATCAACGGGATTGAAGAAAGTCTGGCCGAAGGAAAAGTGGCAAGAGACCAATGTCTCCCCGAGATCTCTGAGAAACGTGTCCTCCCGATCAGTTACTTCAAACCGAAGATCCCCGCGAGGATTCTCCTAGATCCTGAGACGTTCTGCAAGACCTTCCCCTACCACATCCTCTTCAACGATGACCTGGTGATCATGCACTCTGGATCAAAGCTGCAACAGTTCTGCCCGTTGATCAATGATGAGGGCGCTACACTCAAGGATATTTTAACCCTTGATCACCCACAGATTGAGTTGACGTCGGAGAATATCTTTATCTTTCTCAATATGATCTTCATGGCGACGCTGAAGAAAGAAGCCATGGCTCCCAACATGCCGGTCCTCTCTCTCAGAGGTAATGCATGATTAGATTCATTTCATGTAAATCAATTATGCCCCTGATAAAAAGGAATTACACGTCAGCGCGCATTTTCTCTGCCATTGACATTTGTGCACCCATGTTGAATTATTTTTTTCACTTCTATATCATTTCATGAATTCCATCGAAAAGAAAATAGCGAATAAAAATCGAATTATAATCGAGTTCTTTTCTTCTACAAATTGCAAGCTGAATGGAAATGACAATAATTATATTGCAGTACGGAAAGGCAAATTTAATGATACGTTCAACACTTGAAAGCGATGAGCTTTATGAAAAGCAACGATCGTATAGGGGTAACCGCCCTTTTGTTAACTCAATTACGTATTGAATAAAAATTGGTATGTAGGCCAAATTGCATTAAATAATCATTGAAAGGGTGAAATTTGTTAGGTAGAATTTTGAATTTTAACTGAAAGGATAATTTAAAAGAATAAGATATATATATAGAGAGAGAGAGAGAGAGAGAGAAAATGAGGGAGGGGTGTGAATGAGAGAGAAGGGAGAGATAGAGAGATAGAGAGAGAGAAAGACAGATAGAGAAGTAGCGGAATGAAGGAGGAAGGGTATATGAACAGAAAGAAAGAGACCATCGTACAATATGAAATTGCCCATCATACAATTATCAAATATTTTCCACCATTAGATCTTATATCGGGGGTGATCGATGTGGACCATAATGCCTTATTTCGAAAACGAAACAAGTTTGAACGTGTGCTTCTTAATAAAAGCAGAAAATTAGAGAAACATCTTAGTGAAATTTTGAGCAATATCCGATCAAAAATAGGAACAATTTTCATCAGTGACACATTGCAAGGTCCTCTGAAATTTGCTCCGAAAGAAGAATAATAAATTTCCATTTATTTATCGTTACTGATAACGAAATATTAATTTTCCGTACCCGGGGTTGTATAAAAAATATATTTGCAATAATCATATTCAGGGTAAGTACATGATTGGAAATTATCTAAAAGGAAATTTTGTGATTGAGTTTTTTTTATTAGTACAGGAGTAATGGCGGGGGACCTCACAAGATACATCACGGAGTTGCCAATATTGATCGCACCTTCAAATATTCATGACTTTCTTATTTCTAATCAGGTTTTGCTCCATCTTTCACTGACCTATTTCTCTCATTTTTCTGCTTCTATTATCACCGACTTAATATCAGGATGCACTCCTCTTTACAGGCTCCCGTTATAATTGTGTTTTTGAGGCCGCTTTGCTTAATATGATTGCGGTCTCCTGCACTTTCCCAACATAAGCAGTTGGGCTTCTCCTTCTTTGATGAATATCATCTTTTCCCATACAGCCTCTTAGCCCGGCTCTTAGCCATGTCGTGCTTACTCCAGACATCCAGAAAAACTTTAATAAGTTGTTTCTTATTCTCATCATTCGTTAGGAACTGCTTCCAGTCAGATGGTCTTTTGGTCTTGCCTCCTTTAATCATCATCTTCTCTGCACACCCACGCCGTGTCCGTTCACTTGACTTCACAGAGTCTGGCTTGTACATGTCTGTGCTGAAGATGACATCGCATTTGGACAACACTCCATTGTGAATTCTGATGCAAATATCGTGGAAGTATGCAGGCATCTCTTTTAGGTAGTAGAAAACAGCATTACCATCTTCCACTACCAAGGAATTGCCAGTGGTTGGAGGTTGTGAGTTCTCTACATCCTTCCGGAGATAGTGTAGGCCCTTAACTGTATCTGTCTTAGCAAAGAAGTTGTTCCAATGTTCCAATTGAGTAGAGAACAGGGATCAAAGAATTCCCGTAGAACAAGTTGGCTGCCTGAACTGTGTGCCTTTACCATCAGCTGGATAGCAATGTCCCCTTGTTGCTTGTACTCTTTTACTTTTCGTTGGGATGTTTTAAGCGTGAATTTCTTTTTTGTTTCTGCCATGGTTTGAGCTTCAGTTTCTTGATGGGGTCAGAGAACGATGTCTTTTTCTCTAATCGCTCTTTGATGAACATCTCTTTCTGGTCTTTCCCTGTGGTAATTGCATGCATGATATCTTTCTCAACCTTAGCTGGAACGCAGGCACCGGAAGAAAAAACATACAATCCATTCTTGTCATCAACATCAACATGATTGAGGAAGCTTTTTACATCATCTATGGCCTTTTTTTTTAATACACATCCCTCACTTTTCCTCATCTGAGTTGGTTGTTGATCTCTGTGTTTATTTCCACGGTGAGCATCAAACGTCATATCTGCATATGTTCGGGCCCACCTCTGATATACACTGTAGTTCTCAACTATGCCAGAGACACCGACACCACTACTACCCCCACCGCTAGATTTGCCATGCTTCAGGATTATCTCCTCAATTTTCTTGTCGACAGCACATCGGTTCCCTGAAATGAGCGACCTGGCAACACTTATTGCACCTCTTTCGAGCAATGTCATGGCACCAGGATGTGAATCTTCAATGTTTACAGATATCGGGAGTAATTGTGACCAGGTCAGGCATAAGGAAGAGCTTTGAAGCTCTCATATGACTCTATCAACGCCATCAGATCTGCATTAGCCACAACCAATTTTCTTGTCGACAGCACATCGGTTCCCTGAAATGAGCGACCTGGCAACACTTATTGCACCTCTTTCGAGCAATGTCATGGCACCAGGATGTGAATCTTCAATGTTTACAGATATCGGGAGTAATTGTGACCAGGTCAGGCATAAGGAAGAGCTTTGAAGCTCTCATATGACTCTATCAACGCCATCAGATCTGCATTAGCCACAACCAATTTTCTTGTCGACAGCACATCGGTTCCCTGAAATGAGCGACCTGGCAACACTTATTGCACCTCTTTCGAGCAATGTCATGGCACCAGGATGTGAATCTTCAATGTTTACAGATATCGGGAGTAATTGTGACCAGGTCAGGCATAAGGAAGAGCTTTGAAGCTCTCATATGACTCTATCAACGCCTTCAGATCTGCATTAGCCACAACCTCAGCAAGCCTCTCCTTTGTTGGTGATCGAATTAGCTCTTGGAAGATATTCTTTGATTCCTCAGCTATACCAACAAGTGCATCATCTTTTCCAGTCATTGACAGGAACTCATAAAAAAGGAGCCGTTCTAAGCACTCCACCATTGTCTTGTGACAATGCAGACTCCTGTCACAGTTCTTTCTTGCTATGACGTCTTTCATAGACCCAGAAGACATGAGACTAGCTTCCAAGAGGATATCTTTAAGTCCGGATCCTTCCATTTTCTTTCCAAGCATCTTGGAGTATGCACAAATCAAATGGAAAATGCCAATCAACAAAATGTGTTTCTTGTAATTTTATGGATGACTCCAAATGAGAGAAAATGCCTTCATGCACACGCTCAATTCAAATGTTGTTATGACATAGTCTTGGCCAACCTCGTGGATTGCTTCTTCTGCAGCTCTCGGGCACTCTTGGATTGTATCGAATTCTGTTATTGGATATTTTATAACAGGATAGTAATCTATGGTCGTCACATTTGAAGGCACCTCGCATGTTACTGAGACAAATCCAGTCCAACCTGGAAGCTCTTGACCTGTCTCTCCACTACTTTTCCGGACAAGCATCCACGCAATATCATTTCTGGCACATTGTTTGAATGCTTTAAATCGGTTGACATAGCAAGGTGGAAGAGGACCTTCATGTTTAATAGTCAAGGAACGTTCTTTGGTTCATGTACGTGCTTCTGAGGGTACTGTGCTATTTGAAGATTCAACTGTCTCATTGTTAGAAATCTCCTGCAGCATAATCCCATGGGCTGTGTGGACAGAGCCAGAACCACTTAAGAGTGAAATGTATTGGTCGAAATCGTCAACGTCTGAATGGAAGACTGATGGCTCCACGGGATGGCGGACTACCTGTCTAGATAGAATACCAAAAGTCTACTGTAGTGCTTGTGCTATGGCAGATTCAAGCTCAAGTGAAAATGAATAGCTTTCTGAAAGAACAAGGCGATTCATGAATGTGATCAATATTATTGAGCACTGCGTAAGAGATGTCTCAGAGTCATCCATATCAGAATATGCTTGGACATTTTCCACTTTCCATTTGTGGCTGCCCTACATAATCTTGACCAAGAGATATGACAAATCTAGTCACTCTTTGTGATGGTCGAGACGGATTTCCACTCAACATTAATGGTTCAGAAACTTCTCTAGCTCAGTGGGAATCTGGTCATCTATATAGGCAATGGCTTCTGCGGTTGAGGGCCAGGTATTTCATCACCTACAATTTAATCTACATATCCTGGCAAATGCTTTCTTGTGGGCTACTTCAATTGTTCTCTGTTTAGCTACTTCATTGTACTTGTCACTTCTCCATTAATCTGGTTCGTAGTTCGCCACATATTTCTTCCGACAGTTCTTGTGATATCTTGCTTCTGCAGCAAACAGATCAACTTCCATGATTCTCAAAAGTAGGTCTTCATCACCAACTCTCTTCGCAACATCTACAACATTTTGCCACCCACCAACATCAAACATTGGTGACTTTCTGTTGTCCAAGAGCTTTTCACTTTGATTGATTTTGGGCCTTCCTTTTTACAAAAGATACAATCAGAATTGAAGATGACTTCATCAATTGACGATTTGGGTGGACGGGATGTTGAAGGTTCTGTGGCATCAGATACGATCTCTGAAAGTCGATTGAGATTCTTGGTAAAAAGTTGGTAGCACTCCCGATGATAACCATGCACATCTGAAATGTCTTCAAGAATGAGGATGCATGCTTCTTCCATTGCTACTTGTGTCAAGTTAGTTGAAATTCGTGAAATTGTACCCCGTATACGTTTGATCATTCATTTGTATAAACAACAAAACTATATTATAGCATATAATGGGATTAATGACCAACTGCTGAATAAGTTGGCTTTGTCTGATCCCCCCCCCCCCCCCTCTTCGGGCTGATGTTGTATGTGTATACTGTATTTTATTTAGTTTGATGTACTGCTTGTTGAGCTTTTGTTTTTTTAAACAGGAACTTTAATTGAATGTACATTATATATACAGAATGTATTAATCGTAATATGCGGGGGGGGGGGGGGGACAAAAATTTGCGGGAAACATCAGATAACATATCAATGAATAATAATACACCACATTAGGGGGCTAGAAAACTTATTTCATGATAAGAGCAGACAAAAAACAACTTTCAGGTGATTTTGACAGGTTTTGAGACAGAAATTTGCATATAAAATATATGCAAATTGATGATGTCATTAATAATTGAAGACAATAACATGAATTGAAATAATTTTGTCTACCTGTTGTATGATTTACAAAGATTGTTT